CCGAGGGTCTGGGGGAGCCGTGTGCCTGAGTAGGGGGCGAACACTGCATCCACAGTGTTGGAGGAGCCCCGTGTCCAGGGTCTGGATCCTGTCATCGGCGGGGTCTGAGTTTTATGAAGATTGGGCGGCCACGCCCTTGCCAGCACCTTCCGGGTGCAGCAGGCAGCGGGCCGGGGCGGCCCGCCCTGCACAGAGCCTGTCGAGGCCGGAGAACCAAGGGGTGCAGGACAGGTCTGTGCACCAGGCATCTCTGCCGGAGGGTCAGCCCTGCCAGCAGAGGGGCCGGGACCCCTGAGAGCTGACTGGGCCCTCCCCACGCCCCCCCAGCGCCTCAGGGAGGCCCCCTGTCTGGCACAGGCAGCCCCCGCCCCCGGGGTCGGAGGCTCAAAAGATCCAGAGAGGCGTCTCCTGGACCTGCAGCCCCCGCCCAGAGCTGAGCGAGTGCCCATGACGACCGGGTCCCGGACGACAGTGCCGCTCGCCGATGACCTCTTCCGCAGAGGACAGGGGCGGGGGCTCCTGCGGGGAGCCACGCCGAGGCCAGGGTGCCAGGGGAGCTCCCGTGACTGCCCACACGGGGATCCGGGGTCCCCGAACCATCCGGCGGTCACCCCAGTCTGCAACGTCACATCTGCTCAGCAGCAGCTCCCCGGGCCTGCCCCGGAGGCGGACTGAACAGAAAACCAGGAGCGAGAAAGATGCTCCCAGTCCGAGGAGGCACATGCAGAGCGGGCCCTGACGTGGCGGGGACGTGCCCGCCAACGTTCCACGCGTGCCCTGGGGCATCTGTGGGTCATCCGAACAGGTCACGTGAGACCCGTCCCACAACGGGAGGAACAAGGCCGCTTCCCGAGGAAGAACCAAGGGCAGGAAAGCATCAGAGGTAAAGGGAGGCCTCGGGGCGAACGTCCAGAAGGTGCTCACGCTCCAGAACCCGGAAACAGAGGCCACGTGCCGGAAAACCGCCACGCAGGCTGTCCACCAGAGACCCTGCCGGCCTGTAAGTCAACACTGGCTCTGCCACACCCTCCCGT